AATCTTACGAGGAGATTGATCCTAGCGGCTAGATCAATTCCTCTGGTGGGATCTAGGAAAGTGAGGACTGAAAAGGGGGTTTAATCGAATGGCAATGTGGGCTAGTGTGCTATTATGGTTGCATTTATTCGTCCGTGAGGTTTAATTTACAATTAGCTGGGAGCAGCACCCGAGGTGCCTTGACCTACTTTCTTTGGGTTATTATTATTCCGCGTCGCGGCAGTTCCGGTGTCGCGATAGCGCGCTTTAGCGACGGTAGGTTACTGAACGCCGGAGTGATGACGCAGAAATTCTTTGCTGTTTAATGGCGGTTTAGGCGTGACTCTAATTTATCTCGCGATGCTGAGATTTCGAGCTCAGCTGTTCGAAGGAAGTTAATGAGATCTTAATCTATCCGGTTAACCGGAACAAGGCATGGAAATCGCGATAACGGATAGAATTCGGTTTGATCGGAGATGAGGGGTTAGGAAGTAAACTAGAATTGAATGAAGATGAGTCGAGTTTGCGAAGGATCCTCTACCTGGCTTGATCAGTGGCCGAATTCGGTGACACTCTCCTTTGATCGACCCAGCCGGATGACTGCACATGGACACCTTCGTCCCGCGGGGTGCCCTATGTTGGAGGTCTCCTAGAAGCCTCCCGTCCAATGGAGGTTGCAGTGCCGCCGTCTGTTCCTGACTCGGTGCGTTGGGATCGCTGAAGTACCGCGTGGCATCACTGCGGCTCGCAGGATAGATGGTCTTCGACAGGGAGTCCGGCGGTCTCGATTTCTGACTCGCTAGGAACGGAGTACCGAGGGCCAGGAGCTCCACTCGAGGTTGTCGACGAACGTCGACGTTGACTCGACTCAACTTGAAGAGACTAACTGGTAACTGAATGACTACTAACTACTCTGCGTTGACTGAATGCTGGTTTTATTGGCAGGGTGTTCCAATTGTTGGGAGGTCCTGGGGCCCAAGTGAGGGTGGCGCTTTTGGGTCGTGCTCACGCGTTCTGTAGTTGTCAGGTTGTTGGCCCCGGGTCGATCGGTGACTTTTGGGGTCGTCTTGGCCGATGAACTTGTCGTGTCAGATGTTTTAATGTTGGATCCTTTCGCAAGAATTTCCTAATCGCGTTTCCGTACTCGGATTTCCATGGCTAGCTTCCGATGATCAGAAAATGGGTTTTTCCTTGGGTTAGGTACGGAGGGTGTCTACGTAACAATTCATTTAAAATTTGTTTTGATGAAGCAATGGAAATATTGAAAACGTGGTACATGATGCTACAATATTTGCTCTAAAAGAAACTTATTTTGAGAATTTCAAATCTTTTCTAAGACTGACTGGAAGATAAAAAAAATGATATTCGACAAGAATTACCTCCGAGAAGAATATGTGGTAACGATATATTACGAGAAATTTTTTAAATCGCCTGTATATCAAGGGTAATGACACGGTAATAATACTTAACTACAAATATAAAACTCACGCCGCTATGCAATATGTTTCGCCTTGTGTACGTTGTTGCGCAAATCCGTCGCATACTTTGACGGGTTACGAGTCCGCAAAAAAATCCGTCTAGGCAGCGATACGTCGATACGCTCTGCTACGGTCCGCTGCCCCGTGTGTAATAGCGATAGTCTATATAAAATTTATTAAATTGATCCCGTTCAGATTTTTGCAATGCGGTGCTCTACCATCCGCTCTGACATAATGTGCGCGAGCCTTAACACATGCTTCTGAAGCATCTGAAAGTTACAAATTAACTAACATAAGATGATATCTTTATTAATGTTCCGTTGCTTCGTTAGCGTGAGCAATTATTGCTGTCCTCAGAGCGTAAGTCTACCATCTCGCTATTTGCAATTAAATTCGCGAACACGACGATAACGCGATGACCGGCAACTTTATTTTGTACGGTTGTTTCTTGTTGATTGTAAAGACCTGAGCAAAGCTGCTCTTAAGATTTCTTGTTGAAATCTTTATACTAAGTTCTCTTGTTGAGAGTTGAGTACCAAGTTGCCTAGTTGAAATTTGTGAACCAAGTGACGCTCTTCGAGAATCACAATGTTCTCGAAGGTAGCGTCGGCTATGCCTCCCTTGCAGAGTAGTAGGTTAACAAAATTGGGATTCTCAAATTAGAGAATGGTGTAGGAGTGAATGTTGCAAATTCTGAAAATACTTGAGTTTTCTCCCGAAAAGACCCCTCAAAAATGTAAAGGCGGGATTCCTCCAATGCTGATTAACTCATTTGGACGTGATAAACTTTTAGGTGCCACCCTTTACCGCATCCACGAGTGTCCCAAGTGACTCGCACATGGGGTCGTCCAAGATCGACAAGAGTTGCCCGGGCCTGGTAAATTCCAAGTACTGCTAGGTAGTTGAACACTCGGGCGTAAACCTCTTTATGGATTTATTAGGGTTTGGCTATTTGTAAACGGACATCTAGCACATATGTATGTACGCAACAATTGAATAAAGAAGGAAGCAGTCACTCCAGAAAACTCGATATATTTAAATAATTTTTTTTCAAGTCGAATATGCCGTCACAAAATTTGAAAAAAAAAAACGCATTCAGTGTGCATCTTTGTGTGTAAGTGCTTTGATTTTTGAGTCATTTTTAAGGTGATATGAAAGAATCAGCTAACATATATATGTGAGGTCAAATCGTTGGTGAAAGTATTCTCCGAATTGGGTGTACCGATTCGTTTCAAATTTTACCACGTGAATATAGAGGTCCTAAAGTAGGTTCTACACGCATGAAATTTCATTTTTCATCAAAAATGTATTTATTTACTATGAACTCGAACCAACATGGCGTGGTCCGTGCACGTTTTCGATGTTTCACGCTTCTTCGAAGCTTACAATCGAGAATTAACCCTTTGCACTCGAGAGGCGCCGCCACAGCGCCGCTGGCAACTGGAATGGCAAAGCCCTCGATTGCAAAGGGTTAAGTTTTAGGACCTAGCTCGAACAATTTAGAATACCGTAGAAATGGAATATTACAGAGTCAGATAGGAAAATATGGAAAATACTTTCACCAATGACTGCAAGAGAATGCTGGCTTGTCCCGTGGCTAACGCGTATTTTTAGAGCAAAAATTTTATTATAGCTAAACGTTACAGATAGCAACGTTGGTCCGTTCGAATACAAACAGTCATGAATTCACGGGATTTCGAATTTTACATTGATCTCTTTATTATTAATATACTTTACTGAAATGACATATGGAAGACTTCAGTTTGTATAATTCTCAACGTAGACTGTAAAAGATTTCAACAAAAATATAAATCAAAAACACCTCCTTCAGGTGTAAAGAAACCTCGCCAAATATATATATGTGCCCGTCACTAGTCCTTTCTGTTATAATCTCGGTTACATTATGTTAATACGGTCACGAAATAACTGAAATGAATTATAATGCACAAAATACGAATAATCTTTCTTCTCGGGTTCATTCAGTTCTTTTATTACCTAAAGAATGAATACACAGAATTTATAAAACTATATAACAGAATCTATAACATAAAAAATATGTACAATTTTTTAATCATTTTTGGCGAGCCGCTTAATAATATTTATGGTTTCTGAGAGCATTTTAGGCTTTATGCTATTACAGTACATTGAAAGAAGCGGGCAGACAATGATATGAACACTAGTAATGTGTCACATTTGGTGACATTGAAGTAATAATAAAGTCCTAATACCTTTGAGGCTATTTATTGGTATATTAAGCGGTTCGCCAAAAATGTTTAAAAAATTGTACATATTTTTTATGTTATAGATTCTGTTATATAGTTTAATAAATTCTGTGTATTCATTCTTTAGTTAATAAAAGATCTGTGTATTTTTTCTTAAGCTAATAAAAGAACTGAATGAACCCGAGAAGAAAGATTATTCGTATTTGGTGCGTTTCAGTTGTTTCGTGAACGTATTAACATAATGTAATCGAGATTATAACAGAAAGGACTAGTGACGGGCACATATATATATTTGGCGAGGTATTTTTACACCTGAAGGTGTTTTTGATTCGATTTCACATCTTTTTGTAATCAAATTATTTGTATTAAATCAATTATTGATTTATTATCGGATTTATTTTTTTTTTATTTTAAATTTAACTAACTATCCGCCGCCGCCGCCGCCGCCATCACCACCGCCGCAACCGCCGCAACGTTGGGAGAGGGGGAGGGGCGAAAAGGGGCGAAAAACGTTAGGAGAGGGCGAAGGGCGTTTAATGGCGAAAAAGGACAAAAAAGGGCCAAGAAGTGCTAGGAAGGATAGCAGAGGTCGAGAAGACGAGAGAGGGTGTAAATTGGCGAGAAATGGCGAAAAAGGGCAAGGAAGGGCGAGAATGGGCGGAAGAGCGCGAGGAGTGAGAAGGACGAAAATCAATGCAAAAGGGCGAGAGGGTGAGGACAAGGGCCAGAACAAGAGCGAGAACCCCTTACATTGATATTTGAAACGACCGCGCCAGGTGGCCATCGCATATTGGTTGGATCGCTGCGGTGCCATCGAAACGGTCGACGGAAAACTTCCAGCAACCCAAGCGAAGTGAAATATTAAAAAATGCACATCTCTGTATTAAATGAACCAATCGGTATCGTTCATTGCTTAAAAAATGCACATCTCTGTATTAAATGAACCAATCGGTATCGTTCATTGCTTAAAAAATGCAGAAAAATCGTCCACTCTCGATGACCTCGTTAAAGTTGACTTTACTCATTCAAGAGGTTCAAAAAACAACATTCATTGTCCAATTTGACACGCCAGGCTGAACATCGCAGATAATGACTAGGTATGAGTTTCTTAATGTCTGGTCTAACCTGACGCACCACCTTGTTACGACTTGAGTATCCAAAATGGCGTTACCACCAAAAATGGTTTTCATGAATTTTAATTTATTGAAATCAATTAAATTTTTCAACGTCTTTTATATCACGTTAACGCAATAAAGGAAGTAATGTAGAAAAACTTTCAATCACGATTTCTTCTCCAACGTTAGAACAAAGATACGTATGGTACTTTGCAAATATTATTTATTCGAAATAAGCTAATAACTAATTTATGCAAAGTTTCATTCAATGTAGGGACACATATTACATGCTTATCCAATTACAGCCCTTTCCGTTTATTTCTTTTTATCTTGATGTTTAAATAAGTTACTATGTAATTAAATAAATTCACGAAGTTACATTTTTATGAACTCAGCAATGAAATAGCATTTGCAGGTACTACTTTTTTAATCACGATTTATTATTTTTTAGTGATTCATGACGAAGTGAGTGCTGCTACACCCGGTAAGACTTTTCCTTCTAGAAGTTCCAAAGTAGCTCCACCACCAGTACTAACATGACTGAGTTTATCTTCTGTTTTCCACTTAGCGGCACAAGTGGCTGTATCTCCCCCTCCTATGATTGTAGTGGCACCACGCATAGTCGCTTCGACTACATTATCCATTAGACTTTTTGTACCTTTACTGAAGTTGTCAAACTCGAAAACACCAGTTGGACCATTCCAGACAATTAATTTCGCTCTTTTAACTGGTTCTGTAAAGTGAAGAGAATTTGTTACTTTTCTTTTTTTTTATTATAAAATAAAAACAAAGTATATATTCAGCTGTAGTAAACAAAGTAATAGAAAAAGTTTGAGAAAACGTTATGTTTAACTGATTTAAAAGAAATGTAAACAATTATGATACAACCAGCAAATAATTCTCTTGATTTCGGTCCAATATCAAGACCCATCCAGCCATCCGGTATACCGCTTTCTAAATCGGCAATTCCAACTGCAGCATCTTCTGCAAATTTGTCAGCGGTGACAAAATCTACTGGTAAGTAAATCTTAACATTGTTCTTTTCTGCTTTTAACAAGAGTTCATTAATAATTTTGGCACCCTCTTCATCAAACAATGAATTTCCAATCTAAATCCAAAGTAAAGTGATTATAGCACTGTCAAAGATATTATGTAATGTACTACATCAGATAGTACATTACTGTAAATTTCATATGCCAAAAATAATCAATACTCACTTTTACATTTTTGGTGACTTTTAGAAACGTACATGCCATCCCCCCCCCAATAATCATCTCATTAACTTTCTCTAACAAATTATTGATCAACTGTATTTTATCAGCAACTTTACTTCCCCCAAGTATTGCTAAGAATGGTTTTTCTGGATTATCCAGAACTTTTGCAAAATATTGAAGCTCTTTCTTTAATAAAAATCCACTTGCACGGATATCAAAACCATCACCCAACATTGAACTATGGGCTCGATGAGCTGTTCCAAAAGCATCGTTGATGTATACATCACCAAGTTTTCTTAAGGAAGCTCGGAATTCAGTTATTTTGTCCTGATCAGCTTTTATCTGTATCATATGATAAAAAATTCATGGTACCATGTTTCAAATTGTGAGTTATGTCACAATATTTAATATTTGCTCAATGCCATTTGTGGGATTATAGATTGTATCGTTAATTAAACTCTCAGAAGAAAAGTCAGTACGCTTCACATATTTTATGAAGATCAGGTCTCTACTACTTATACTACACATTTAAACTGAAATGCACATTTCTTACATTAATGTTGCTTAAATGAAATGATCTCTTAAATTGTATTAGTGATGCAACGAGTCAAATACTTTACTAACTTAAGTTACTGGAATTTGAAAACATTACCAGCTCGAGGTTGGACTCGAATCGATAACTTGGTACCTCATACATTCAGCGTGGCGAATTGGCAAGTAAGACAACTCAAATGACAATTACGAGTAAACAAGGGGTGGTTGGTATCTCGGTACGAGTAACGGTTTCGTTCTTATACTTGCAACTCAGTTGCAGTCTTACACTCGTAACTTGTTCTTGGTGTCTCATTAACACCTCAGTGTAGCACTATCACTCGCAGCTTGATCTGGCTCTTATACTTAAAACTTGGTCTCACTTCAGTGCTCGTAATTCGGTCTTGCTTTCACATTGATAACACATTTACTTGTACTGATAATTTGAGTTACAATAAAAATGACTCGAGTTGACTTGAATACACGCTTGACTTTAGTTTAACGAGTTAAAGTACTCAACTTGTCACATCACTAAATTACATTCTAATTGGTATAGGGGCAGTTTTTCTTTCGACAATCCACCAATTTTAACAATCACATAAACTACTGCTAATAAATTATTAAATGACATTTCATAATATTAAATTACAAGGGACTATATGAATCTCAAATGTACTATTAAACACTAAATGCAATACTAAATTTGTGTTACACATTTCAAATAAATTTTAATGAACACAAGTTTATCTGTAATTTAACACTTAAGAAAGTAAAAGACCTTTTATCAATTACTTCCCCTATTTGGATATTCAGTTATTAATAATTGTTTATAATTGTGAAGTTTACTGCATCCAAATTATAGAAATTTACATCAACATATTTGAATAAAATGCAATGTACCTTAGATCCATCGGGTCCAATACCTTTACCTTCTTCTTCAATATGGAATCTTAAATTCTCTAATAAAATAATTGTCCCAGATATAGGATTGGCACAAGCAGATTCAACAATAGGTCCGACACAATCATCTAGAAAAAGAATCTCTTTTTTAAGAAGTGATTTCAGTTCATCTGCAACTGGTTTCAAAGTATACTTCAAATCTCTCTTCCCATCGGGACGACCCAAATGAGACATTAAAACAACTGATTTTGCACTTTTTTCGAGGGCATATTCAATGGTATCCAAAGCAGCAACAATGCGTTGATTATTGGTTATCTTTCCATCTTTTAAGGGAACATTAAAATCAACACTGAAAATAAAAGGATAATTACTTTATATACCCTTAGGCACAGTAATTTTTTCATTTCATTTTTATTTTTATTAGTAGATTAACCTTATTTCCATTGACCATAATCAACAGACCAATATAATCCTCAAATTTAACAGACATTATGGGTATAATGCTTAAAACTAAAAACCCACGAATTCAATCATTTAACTACCTTGTAACAAATTTTTTAAATTAAACTATTTAAATCATTGTTGCTACGTTTGAGTCCTAAAAAAGATAAAAATTTACCGTATAAGAACTCTTTTGCCGGCAAGCTCAATATTGTCAATGCTCAATTTATTAAAAGCCATGTTTTTCTAATGTTGGTGAGCGTTGAATAATGTGTGATCTTAAAAATAAGAAACTTGAATCTCCGTGAATATCAACAGATACTGTTTAAAAAAACAAAATCTCCTGACTTTGGACAACCCGTCTGAGACGTTCAAAATCTTACCAAACTTGTCAATGTCAAAGAAAGGTCAGAACGTAAGAGCGAGTTCATATACACTGGACTCCATCGATGGCTTGCACCTGGTCCGCACTGCCCTCTCCGGCCGCGCAGCGTACTAGCGGCGGGAGCAGCGCGGAATTCGAATCGCTCGAGGGGCAAAATGGATTTCCTAAAGAAAATAAATATTTATAAACAAAAACAATTAATGAAAATTAT